AGAAAATGGGCTGAGAGGAAGGTGGGAAATGCAGAGGGAACCTGAGTGAGTGCTGCTCAGGGGCCGTGCCCAGGAGTTAGGGATTCTCACCTACTCTGGTTCTTTGCACAGGTCTGGGCTGGCACTGCACCCCCAAACCCATTAGACTTCCATGGAGCCCTGCAGCCCCCATTGGTCTCCACAATCTCCCTCTGCTGCCTTCAGACCCAGCCAGGTCATACCCACCATCTCCCACTCTAGCATCCCTGTCCCCATGAATCACCTCCTCATCCTCATCCTCTGCCTCCCTCCCAGCCCTGTCTGTCCCCCTAGAGAGTGGCCATGGGAAGGGGGACCTGCCCAGGACCCCAGGTTGCTCTGACTCCTCCCATGTCCCCCTGAGAAAAACCATGATGTCACCAGAACTTGTGTCACGTGGGGAAGTCACTAGAGGGATGAGTACTCCATCACCTGGAGGGGGCAGAGGGGTGGTCTCTTGAGGAAGGGATGGTGCAAATGGTCTAGATTTGCCTGTGGTGGTGGTTGCACAACTCTGCAAGTTTGTTACGAATCATTGACATACACACTTAAAACACGGGAGGTGTGAGGTGTGGCAATTTCCTCATGATGGAGCCTGAGGTCCTGCTCTGCTTCCTCCCAGGGCTCCTGCCCAAGCCCTCCCTCAGGGCCGAGCCTGGCCCTCTGCTCCCCCGGGGACGGCCTGTGACCTTCGTGTGCAGTTCCCTAGTTTGGGCTCAGTCATTTCACCTGGAGAAGGATGGAAGGCCTGTACACCCTGATCAGATAAGTGAGCCTCAAGAAGGTTTGCAGAGGACAGAGGCCAGATTCCACATTTCCGTGGTGCGTGAAGACACTGCCGGGAATTATACCTGCCTCTATCGACATGTGTATGGCGGGTCTGAGCGCAGTGAGCCCCTGGAGCTGCAGGTGACAGAGGAGGACTCCACTCCGCCCTCAGGTTGGTCCCAGGGCCCTGCTCCCTGTCCCAATTGCGTCTCTGTCCTCGGGCTCACTGCCCTGCTCACCCCCCCCAGCCCTGGGGCTCCCCTCCCTCTGCACTCATGACCCTCAGCCTTCACCCATAGCTCAGGGCCCTGGACTCTGGTCTCATCTGGACACCATGGTGACCTGGACCCTAAGCCCTGGTACAGAGGAAACACAGAGCTGTCCTGCTGGGCTGGGTGGGGCCTGAGCTTCCAGCCATCAGGTGGGGACAGACCCCTTCAAGTGGCTGTGAGTCCTTCCCCTCAGGATAGTGGTTCCTTGCCCTTTCCCCTGGCCAGGCTCTGTGGGGCCCATGCAATATGTCCCCTGGCGACCACCCTCCATGGGCAGGTGATGTGGTCCCTAGGGTCCCGGACCAGGCTGGACAGTGCTTTGGGGGCATTTTTGGGTGAGGCTGCCCCTGGCCAGGAGTTCTCAGAACCTGAGGTGAACTGAAGGTCCAGCAAGGACATGAGAGGGAGAGAGGGTGGGAGGGAGGGAAAATTCTTCCTTTCAATCAGAGCATCTTCTCTCTCCTCTTCATCCTTCTGTGAGGCAGACATCCCATAACTGTGAGCACATGCCCAGGGGTGGCCCTCACCCACCAGACCTGGGGGTGTCCACCCAGTTGATCCTGACCATGTGACCCTCCCTGCCCCAAGGGACTCTGGGTAGCTCAGTGGCTGGGGGAGGGGAGCTCAGAGTCCAGGCCCTGTGACCCTCTGGCTGGGTCAGGGGGCTCCCACACTGTGTGTCCATGAGCCAGGACCAGCTGCTCTGTGCTAATGTATGGAGGGTGGTGGGACATTCAGAGGGGTGGCCAGCCCCTCAGACAAGTGGAAGTAGAGAGGGTGCCCCCACCCACTATCCTCATTTCCTTGTGCCCATTCTGGGTCATGTGGGAGATGTCCCCTATGCTGGGAGGTGCACAGAAAGAGGCCAGGTGTGGGCGCTGTGGGTGGTGAAGGGCCAGGTGAGTGGTGCAGAGGAGTGGAACTTGGGCTCAGTGCTGCCCTACCCCCTACAAAGGAGCCCCTAGAGACCTCTGCTCCCCCACCCGGGTGGCTCCCACACCTCAGCTTGGGATGTCCCCTCCTCAGGCTCACCTGGGCAGTGACTCCTGCCTATCATAGGTCATGATATGGGGGAGGGGTCATGTCCACCTATCAGTGACCTCTACTCTCTGCTTCCAGGTCCCACCTCCCGGGATTACAAGGTGGAGAACAGCATCCGCTTGGGCCTGGCAGGTGTGGTCTTGCTGATCCTGGTGGCGATTCTGGTGGAAGCTGGGCTCAGCCAGCGCAGGACCCCACAGGGATCACAGGAATAAAGACAAGGAAGCCTCGAGAGATAGGGGGCCCCAGGGCCACAGCATGGACTTCCCCGAGGGCCCAGAGGCTCACACTGGAGCCCAAGAGATTCACAGATGCCCCTGCTGTTGTTGAAGTACTAGAGAATCCACATGGGTTATGATGCTTGGTGTAGGGAGTAGCTCTATGGTTCCCCCTCGGGATGCCCTGTGGCAGGGCCACAACAAGTCGCAGCCTGGAGGGCAGAGCTCTCCTAGCATAATTAAGCCTGACCTTGTAGCCCTCCTTAATTCTTTCCTGAGTAATTAATGGGCTGTGGAAGGTGCATCAAGTGTTGCCAAAACAAGAACATTTGTAT